TATCAAATAGTAGATTACTATTGTCACTGTCTACTGTCTCTTGTATACCTAACCTATTCCACTGATTCACCACTCTATTTCTTAGCCAGTATCAAGTAGTTTTGATGATTGCTGCTTTATAATACAATTTAAGATCTGGAATGGCTAGGCCACCTCCCCCTGCATTTCTTTTCATTAGTTCCCTTGATATTCTGGACCTTTTGTTCTTCCAAATGAATCTTTTAATCCTTATCTTTTGATAGATGAAGAAACTGAAAGCTAGGAAAGAGAAAGGTCTTTACAATCATATAGCAAAAATAAGTGACAACACTAGATTCTTCTGACTGTTAGATTAACCTCTAAAGTTTTTTTACTATTAAAAGTCAATGGTTCATGCCTATCATTTGGAGAATTGAGGAAATGCTAAACAAGTTATGGTATATGATTGTAATGGATACTATTGTGCTGAAAGAAGTGATGAGCTAGTTGATTTTAGAAAAACATGGAAAGATTTATATGAACTAATGAAGAGTAAAATGAGCAGAACCAAGAGAACGTTGTATATATAGTAACAGCAACATTGTTCAAAGAACAACTGGGAACAACTACGTCATTCTGAGTAGTATAAATACTCATATCAACTACAAAGGACCTATAAAGGAAGATGCTATCCATCTCCAGAGAAAGAACTGATAAATCTGTGTCCAGAAGTGGCCTTCTCTAATATGGGGTAGGAAGGGAGACAGTTTGGAACTTAAAATGTATCAAAAAAAAAAAAAAACCAAAACCAAATAATTTTTAAAAAAAATTAACGGTTCTATCTGGCTATTCCTCTCTGCTATTTCTCCCTTCTCTTCTTTCTTCCCCTTTTTTCTCCGTGCTATGCTGTAGGCCACATCTGGGATAGTATTCTGCCCACACTGCCCTGATGAATGACCCTTAGGCTGAAGAGGCTGAAATGCTCACCTAACAGCAGCTATGGGTGGAATCTAATTCCCCACAGCAGAAAACCTAGGCCCAGTCCTGGGAAGCAGCCTGACACCCCAGGTCACCTGGAGCTCTCCAGTCAGCATCCTGCCATGTTTGGCTCCTGGTACTCCCTGCACTCACTGACTGCATAGGTCTTGACTGAACCTGCCACAAACTTCTGGGTGCCAGTTTTTCTACAATGAGCGTGTAGACACCATGAAGCCACAGAGGGACGTCACAGCATCAATAATCTTCTTTCTAAAGGATTTTCTATTTTACAGAACATTGCCCTCACAGCACCCCTGTTGGGTTGTTGTTTGTCCTTGGCTTCGAAGAGGACCAATGATATGATGGGGTGATATCTTGACTCATGTATGAATTAGATTTAAGTGAGGCAGAGTTTAAGTGCGGTGGCAAGAGTAAAGTCAGGACAACTGGGATGGCCTTGGCACCTTTGCTGTCTGACCAAGCTCTAAGCGCTCCATAGCGCTTGCTTCAGCTGCCTTCATGGCCATTGGAACAAACTGTTCTCATCTACCCATTAGACCAGGGGAAGTCTTCACATGGTTGGGGTAGACATCCTTCTAACTCACCAACAGGTTTGAGGCCTGTCAGTTACCCTCAACCTGGTTTAGCCTGTCTGCTGAGACAGTTTATCGGAGTGTGGCCGATGTTCATGCTATAACTTCCTGGAGTCACAGGTGAGAGCTGGGTGAAAGTGGACACCAAAGGTGGGTGAGCAGCCCTCACACAAGAGGTGCTAGTCCTCTCTTAACACCCCATCTACCCTGTTGGGTTAGTACCATTATACTTCCTGTTTTATAAATAAGTAAACTTAGGCTTGGAGAGAGAGACTGTCCAAGGCCACACAGACAATATGGAATTCAAAGCCAACTCTCCTGCGACCAAATGCAGGACTCTCCCCATGACAGTACAAGGCCTCCTGCGTGAGTGAGCAGGGAGACCTCTCTTCTCTTGATGGTACCAGAATGATGAATGCACACTGCTTGAAACATGAAATGCTTAATCTCTGGGCACAAAGGCAGAAGATCCTAGGTAGCACATGTAGACTCGGTAATGTCACCCACACTCAGGTGGCTTTCTGGGAACACCAGTTTCCCATCTCTTAACGAAACCTTGGGGCTGGCTCTACCACCCTCATTAGAACCAAAGCAGGGCAGCCGGCCTAGGAGAGGGCAAGCTGCTGCAAGTGGTCAGTTCTTGCAATGGTCCACAACCAGTAATGAAACGTGCTAAGAGCGCAGTCTGAGAGAAGGACTGTCTTCAGATTTTGCTTGAGAGGCTTGAAGAGGATACTTTGGTTCATATCAATCTATAGATCCTGGCTAGGGCTAGGAATTGGAACATTTTGCTTTTAAAGCAAAATGCTAAGGTTTTTATAACAACCATTGCTGCTCAGTGAAGTCAATGAGACTTTAATGGAAGCTTCTGAGAACATGTACGTGTGCAAATATGTACACACATGGTACTACCTGCAGGTAAGAAATGGGTACATCTATAAATGAGCTGGCCCATATTCAAACAGGAGGACAAGACCTGTTCATGTACAGAAAAAAAATTCATCTGGGGCTTAAAAAGCAATGGTATTTATATAAATGCTTATTTTATTCAGCTCAAAAAAAAAAAGAGTCCAAAAATGAAACTAATGGAAATAAATAGTTTCACGTCTTTGTGGTGTCCCTATTAGTCAGTTAGTTGATAAGCATTTGTTAAGAGTCTGGGATATAATACATTGTTGGTGGAGTTGTGAACTGATCCAGTCATTCTGTTTTTTTGTTTTGTTTTGTTTTTTATTTAGGCAATGGGGTCAAGTGACTTGCCCAGGGTCACACAGCTAGTAAGTGTTATGTGTCTGAGGCTGGATTTGAACTCAGGTCCTCCTGAATCCAGAGCTGGTGTTTTATCCACTGCGCCACCTAGCTGTCCCAGATCCAGTCATTCTGGAGAACAATTTGAAACTATGCCCAAAGGGCTATAAAAATGTGCATAGCCTTTGACCCAGCAATGGCTCTTCTAGGGCTGTATCCCAAAGACATCCAAAAAAGGGGGAAAGGACCTATTTGTACAAAAATATTTATAGCAGCTCTTTCTGTGGTGGCAAAGAATTGGAAATCAAAGAGATGCCCATCAATTGGGGAATGGCTAAACAAGTTGTGGTATATGATTGTAATGGAATCTTATTGTGCTGTAAGAAATGACAAGCAGGATGATTTCAGAAAAACCTGGAAAGACTTACATGAACTGATGCATAATGAAATGAATAGAAACAGGAGAACACTGTACACAGTAATAGCAATATAGTTCAATGAACTGTGAATGATTTAGTTATTCTCAGTAATACAATAATCCAAGATAATCCCAAAGGACTAATGACAAAGCATACAATCTGCCTCCAGAGAAAGAACTAATATTGATTGAATACAGATGGAAGCATACTATTTTTCACTTTCTTTCATTCTTTTTCTTTTATTCAAGTCTTCTTGTAAAAATTAACATGGAAATGTTTTACATAATTGCACATGTATAACTTACATCTGATTGCTTACCATCTCAGGGAGGAAAGGAGGGGAGGAAGGAAGAGAGGGACAGAATTTGAAACTCAAAACTTTAAAAAGAAATGTTAAAAATTTTTTTTAAAAAATCATGCCATCTCTAGGGCAAGGTGGAGGGAAGGGAAAAGTAAAAAGAGAAATTTACATGATAACTTTGTTATATTTAAAAGGAACAGCAAGTTGTACATAGGAGATTTTCAGTTTCATGTGAAATCATCTTTTTTGTTATACTATGTTAGGGAAATGCTTGTTTTATTCCATAAATTAAAAATAAAATAAATTTTAAAAAAGGAAAAAAAAAAAGTCTGGGATACAAAGAAGGCAAAAGACAGTTCTTGCCCTCGGGGAAGACAACAAACAACAGATAGGATCTGAGGGGGAATCAACACGGAAAAGGCACCGAAATCAAGAAGGCTTCCTATGGAAGGGAGCACTTGAGCTGGGACTTGAGGCTGGACACAGAGCTGAGGAGGGAGAACATTCCAGGCCCTGGGGACAGCTGGGGGAAATTCCTGAAGCAGAGAAGTGGACGTGTGGAATGTCTTTTCATGGAACAGCAAGAAGGGCAATGGGGGGTGGAGGAGAGAGAAAAGTAACACAAGGTGTAAGAAGACTGGAATAGGGTGGGAGCGTGTGCAGGGGTAGTAGGCTATGAAGGGCTTTGAACACCAAACACTGGATTCTGCAGGTGAGAGGGAAATACTGAAATTTAACCAGTAAGAGGGTGACAAAAGACATAGAAAACAGCGTCTGAGTTATCAGAGATAAAAAAAAATAACAAAAACACCAAAAAATTGTCAAGTAGAAGAGCCATAACTTTAAAACTAAGTTAGTTCATTTAAAAGCCCCAACTCAGAGATGTCCCTTCTGCTTGAGAAGGTGTCATCTGCCAACACACAGAGCACTGACATCAAATCCATTCATAAATAAGCTGGTGTCCACACACGTAAGTAGACACACTTGTAACCCCAATCCAGAAATCCTCATTATCATATCAACCGCATTAAAAGCTATGAAAAACCAATGAAAACCCTTTCCACAACCTTTGAAATCGTTCCAAAGCCATTCGAGTTGAGACTTCTAGAGGCCAGGGACTCTGCCCCTCCTGTGTGGAGGGGCTCCCAAGCTGTTCTCCCAGGTGAGTTAGAGGGCACTCAGGATCCCTCCAATCAAGGGCCCCAGGGCCTCCTGGTGCTGCTCTCCTCCCACTACCCCAGGCTACCTTTCTCTCCTAGCTTGTTTCTTTCTCCAGGTATAATCTTTCGGGTCCCTTTCAATCCCATGAAACAGACAAGGAAACTGAGGATCAGCAAGGTTAAGTGAACTCCCCTTTTGGCATTTCAGACAGATTAAGTAACTTCTCTTAAGCTCAGTGAGCCTCAATTTCCCCACCTCTGTTTGACCCCAGAGATTTGTTGTGGGGCAGCTGCTCAAAGGTTGATACGACCCAGGCTGACTGAATTTAGGGCAGGAGCTCACCTGTAGGAATCTCCGTCTCTGTTGTAGTCACATAAAAGATAATCCTTTCCCACCACTTTATCTCTGGCAATTTTCAAGGGCTGATCGACAGAGGACAGAAGATCTTCACATAGGCTGGGGACCTGCCAGGCAGAAAGAGAAGAGAAGGGGTTAAAATGACACACATCACTGTGAGGCTGGCAAGTGGCCACATTGTGGTCAGTCGACCGAACATCTGGTCTCTTGGTATTTGGCCGAAACTACAGGATTGGTCTTCTTTTCCACAAATGTATCTTTGACACCAGCCATGTCCTCTCTATAAAGAAACCTGGACTTGAATCACAGCAGAACATGGTCTCTGCTCAAAAATAAGCTCAATTTTAACTGGGAAGTCACTAGTGCGGCCTAATAAAACCCAGCACATACTGTATACCTCTGGCGGGTGAAACGCACACTGAAGACTGAGAACAGAGTAAACACCTCAAATGCACAGGGATCCAAAGAGCGGCCCAAAGAATGAAACCAGCTTCTCTGCCTGAGGACTCCCACAGGCTTCCAGGCTGGGTGGAGCAGCCAATATTTTCCAGGCAGCTGGCCAAGCATCACCCTGCTGGCACATCCGCTACACAGGTAGCTTTCAATGGTGCCTTAATCCTAGCTGCTTCCTTCTTCACTTATCTTAAGGGTGACTCACTGATGGGATGGCTCCTACAGGGCCCTCATTTCTGCTTGTGGCAGAGGCAGAAAGGGAAACACGACCACAAGGACTTCCCCTTTGGAAAGTTTGGAAAGAGGGTTTGGACTTGGACCCAAGAGACCTGGGTTTTCACCCCAACTCTGATGTATTTTAGCCATGTGACTCGATGCAAGTCATATCACCTTGGTGGGCTAAGAACACTTCTCTTAGTATCTGCTGCTTTAAGGACAGCAAGCCCTCTGGGGACCTTAAAGCTCTGGAGGCATATTAGCTGTGAGTGTACATGACTGCCTTCCCCAACGATGCCAAAGCCCAGAGGATTCCTCCTCAGCTGCCACCCAACTCTTCCCGCCTTGCATACCAAATTTCAATTCTGGAAAATTTTAGAAGTGACAGCATAGCTTTTTGAAAGCAATTCCTCATTGGCTGAATACTCCATGTCTCTATTCACTTTCTTCTGGGTTCAAATTCAGTGTTGATTCTGATTGTCAATATTTCCTGTCATAAATCACTACACTATCCCCAGGGCCAGGTCAATATACAAGCTCTGGTTTCTCCTGCCAAGCTTAGAGTCAGAAGTCCTGGGTTTGAATTCTGGCTCTGAAACTTAGTAGCTTCTATGACCTCAGACAAGACACTTCACATCTCAGTCTCAGTTTCCACATCTGTAAAATGGAGATCAATTGTAGCTGCATTATAGCTTTGGGAGTCCTAAAGAGACACAGAAAAGTGAGGTTATCCTCATGATCTTTCCCATCCCCCCTTGCTATCTTTTGTTCCTAATACATACCTTTTGAACCCGAGTTTGGCTCATAATTTCAATTTTGCAATGGGAATAACTAAGGGTCACCTGACTAATTTCACTGACCCCTTTCTCAAGAAAGTTTTCCCTCAAATAGTTTATTTCAAAGTTAATAGCAACACACTAAAGTTTGATGGACATCAACATCATGTATTAACGATGTCGCTAACCAGATATGTATGTGACACAAGTCATGTTATGTCCGTCTCAATTTGCATGTTAATTAATAAACTCTCTCTGAGCTCGGCACTGGGAACGCTTCCCTGAAAACTGGGCTGGAGTCTCCATCTCCTTTCATTTCTGAATTAAACTAATTTTATTTTTAGGACAAGTGGAATCATTTCACCATAACCAGGCTTATGTTTTGGTTTTCTGTAAAAAGACAATCTTAAACCCAACACCACTGCCAACAACTGAGAATTTACTGTAAACTATGCATGTATATTGAAAAGCACATTCTGGCTAGTGTGGAGAAATATAAAATACTGGTCAGCTGCATTTTCTGAGAGGTGAAAGATTCCTTCCTGGGCATCTAGTCCAACCCATTCCTGAACAAGAGTCGCCCATTACAAGGCTGCTGACAAGCGGCAGAAGTCTTCCTGTGCTAGGGCATCGACTGCCTCCCTTATGCAGCCCATCCCACTTCAGGACAGTTCTCACTGTTAGGAAGTTTTGCCTAATTGAAGTGGAAGCCATATCTGACATTTGCCCCCACTGCTCCTAGTCTCTCTCTCTCTCTTTTTATTTAGTATTTTATTTTCCCCCAGTTACATGTAAAAATTTCTAACAGTCATGTTTAAAACTTTGAGTTCCAAATTCTCACCCTTCCTCCACCCCCCACTGAAAAGGCAAGCAATTCGATATAAGTTATACATGTGGAGTCATGCAAAACATATCCATAATAGTCATGTCATGAAAGAAAATAGAACAAAAAAAAAACCCTCAAGAAAAATAAAGTAAAAGAGTGTGCTTCAGTCTGTATTCAGACACCATCAGTTCTCTGTCTGGAGATGGATAGCACTTCTCAGCCTAAGTCCTTCAGGGTTGTCCTGGATTGTTGTATTGCTGAGAATAGCTGTTGTTCACCACTGCGGCTACACAAAACAGTCTCAGCCCTGCCTGTGACAGACTGTTTGAGGGAAGCTGCTGGATTTCCCCAAGTCTTCTCTTTTCCAGGCTATACATTTCCAGTTCCTCCAAGGGACGTTTCTTTGTCTGGACTTGGAGCAGACTCCCAACCATCCTGGTTGTCTTCTTTTCTTTGAACATGACCCATCTGTCTATATCTTTGCTAAACTGTGTTGCCCATAATTGAACACAAACCTTCAGATGTGATCTGACCAGAGCAGATACTATGGGACTTCCATGTCCCTTATTCTGTACATTTCATCCTTCTTGTTGAAACCTAAGATGGCAGGAGCTTTTCCGGCTGCCATGTTAGAGCCCTGACATATACTCAGCTTGAGGCCCACTAAAACCTCCAGATTTTTCTTACATATTCTCAACTGCTGTTGAGCCATGCTTCTCAAAACTTATGCCTGTGAAGCTGATTTTTAAAAAAAACTCAACTTAAACATTCATCGATTGACCCCCTTTTACATTTCTTATCTCATTTGCCCCCTTTTGGTCACATAGGCAGAAGACAGGACTCATTGGAAAAAGATCCTGATGTTAGGAAAGAATAAAGGAAAATGGGGATGGCAGGGGATGAGATGGATGGATGGTGTCATGGAAGCAACAAACATGAACCTGGACAGACTTTGGAATACAGTGGAAGACAGAAGGTTCTGGTGTCCTACAGCCCACAGGGTCAGAAAGAGTCAGGCATGACTGAACAATTGAACAACAAATCCTTCTCTGTCAATAGTTTACACCATGGGCTCACATACCAATCCCAAAGAAGTAGAAGTCCCAGGACATTATTCACTGCGTTTCTAACTCTTACTTAACTCTTTGTAAGCTGGAAAATAACAACTTAGGGGAGAGGAAGGGTGTGTGTGTGTGTGTGTGTGTGTGTGTGTGTGTGTGTGTGTGTGTGTGTGTGTGTGTGTGTGTGAGAGATTGTCAGTATGGCCAGCAGATAAGAAAGGAAGCAGCTTTGTGTATAATAGATAATGCCATCCCCTCAAAAGAAAGGTAGGTATAGCACTATAGAAAGAGCCTAACCCTAACTTTGACTCTAATCCTGTAAGCTCCTACCATCCTCCCTGAGCCTTAATTTCCACATCTGTCAAATGCCATGGCTTCCTTAGCTCTAACATATTCTAATTCTGCGTAAGGTCAAAATGCTTTGAAAAGCAGACTGCCCCTCTCCCATCCCCCTAACCCCCTACTCCTCTGTCTGCCCTTAAAATATCTTCCTGCACTTAACCTGAATCTTTCATTTTCACTTATTTCCCTCTCTCTCATATCACAGACTTATGTACCTTGTCCTTCTCCTCTTATTAGATTGTAGGTTTCTTGAAAACAGGGTCAGGGGTCATATTTACCTCTGGATCTCCAAGGTCTAGCACATAACCTTGCATGCAGAAGGGGATTAATAAAGGCCCTCAGAATTAAAATCTATCTTGTTGGCCTCACAAGGGCAGTATGTGGAATTTGCAGGTTAGTGTCTGTGAAGCACTGATGCCCTGGGCTGGGGGCAGCGTTACTGGCATTTGGGCTCATGAGCTATATTTTCTCAAGCAGAGCAGACCCACCCCTATCAAAGCAAGGGCAACAACGCCCATGCTTACTGGCTGGTTCTGTATTTCAGAATTCCTCGGCAATGCACTAACCAGCATCAGAAGGACGGTAACTTAATCTGCAACCCAGACTTTTTGGCAATGGCCCGGAAGGTGCTGAAACCACACATGCAACCCATAAGTCCTGCATGTTATCGTGATTTGCTTTGCCCGCAAACGTTTATGATTTGACATGGCTGATCGTTTACTGTTACCTGAGCAGCTGCCCTTTGTGACTGTGTCTGTGGGTTGGATTCCACTCCATCAGTTCTGCTTACTTAGATCAAAGATGCATCTGCTTTGGAATAATAACATTCTTTGAGTCACGGGGAATGACAAGTTTGGCCCAGAGAGTTCTGTCTACAGAGCTGGGTTGTGCCAGCTGCCCTGCGGGTGTAATAGTCACAGTCCAATCTGCTCTTTCTCTGCAGACAGGCTGGACACAGACATGTGTTTCCTCAGAGCCACGTCACTTCCTCAGAATGCCATCCCCACTACTCTTGGCCCACCCAAATCATATTCAGATTCAAGGCATGAGGCAACATGATACAGGACAAAAAAAATGCTAGAACTAGAGAAAGAAGATGTGACTTCTGGTCCTGACTTCACCACTTACTTGGGAAAGTCACCTTAACCTCTCTGGGTGCCTCAGCTTTTTCATCTCTAAAATGGGAATAATAATGCCTGCCCTGTTGCAAGAAAATGCTTTTTAAACTGCAAAGAGCTATAGGAATTTAAGTTATTCTTTTTCAGGACTCTGCTCAAATCGTACACCTTCTGTGAAGCCTTTCTGACCAGACCAATCTAAAGTAATCTCTCCTCTGCTTGCCTATACAATCACTATTCACACAATTTATTTCACACTTAGAGAATGCCTTGACATCATTCTATTGCTGCTGTGAGCTTTTTTAGCATGGTGTA